TGCAGTATTTATTACTCTAGTACCTGTCTCTCTCTCTCGGTGCAGTACTTATTACTATAGTACTTGTCTCTCTCTCTCGGTGCAGTATTTATTACTCTAGTACCTGTCACTCTCTTGGCACAATTTTTATATTATATAGTACCTGTCTCTCTTTCTCGGTGCAGTATTTATTACTCTAGTACCTGTCTCTCTCAGTGCAGTATTTATTATCTAGTACCTGTCTCTCTCTCTCTGGATGTGGTTGAGCTCTCGCTCCACCCAGTTTCACCCTTTGCTCCGGAAGTGCTGTCGGCTCGAGCTGCTGCCACTGCCTGTTCCGAGTCGAAGATGTCTGAAGTGGGGAAGCAGGAGATCAACTCCATCTTCAAGCGTCTGCGATCCATCCCCACCAACAAGGTGAGTGTCCGACAGCGATCGCCTTGCCCGGCGGCTGTGTGAGGTGTTGTTGACGGGAAGTTGAGGTTGGGCTGTGTCCCGGGGTGGGGGTCGGGTAGTGGGTGTAGATGGTCTCCGTGCGCTGTCTGTGCCGCCTCGGACCTGCTCTGGAGTGACACGTCGCACACAGTGAGGCTGGTCCGGAGCCCGAGGCCTGGGGCCTGACGCCTGACCGGGGCTGCCTCTTGCTCTCGGATTGTGGCACTCGGTGCAGTTAATTGAAACGAGAAGCAATCGCTTGACCACTGGCTACTTTGACAGAGGATTATATCCAATATGTGAAAAAGTGGGTCAGTTTGGCGTCGTCTCTGCTGTGACAGCTGTTGTGAATTATGGACGTATGGGGTTGGCGGGGAGGTGGGCTGGTGGATGAATGTTGTTGAATTGAAGGAAAACCTTGTTCGATTTATCGTAATAAACAGAACTGAACAATGCGGGATCTCTGTTTTTGCTCTGGCATTCAACGTGTGTAAACATTGTGACTAGGTGGAATTCTTGTTTTAGTTATTTTGTGGTTAAGAAGGAAGTTTGATACCGGTCACATCCGGTATTTTAGTTTAACTTTAGAGACGTCGCAACAGTGCCTTTTGCTATGTTGAAATTCATCCTTTTATAATTCACTTAATGCTATATGTATCAGCTGCTTTGTAATTTCTATGTGGATATGTTGCTAGATATCGGCTGTATTTTTTAATTGAAATGCTGTATTTAATGGTGATCTTAAAGTAGTTTGTTTCTTGCAATAATAAGCCCTATAGAGAATAGGAAATGCTGTAAAATCTGAAAATTTAAGTGTTTGGCTTTCTTTTTTGTTTGTAGTAATAGTCTTTAGTGGATACTTGGTCATCGGTATCTCTAAACGTTTGGATATAACTAGAGTAGATTGAAAAAGTGCCTTTTCAGTATTAAAATAAAAACTCTACAAAGTTCAAAGAGACCTAATTATCTATTCTGTTTCAGCCCCTGCATAGGGAAGGGAATAGGCAGTCATGGCTCATTACCCAATTCACTGTTTTCTGATGGAATGTGTTGACATTCTGTGTAGGTTATGTTTGACTGCATATTAAATATCTGCAAACACTGTCTAAACCTGAACAAACACAATTAATAGCTTACTCGAACAGGATAGTGTAGGCATTTAACCATATGCCATTGAACTAGTATCCTCGTTAGAGAAGAAATGGCTGGACTGGGATTTGGGGTGAAGTGAAGTAGTATTTATGTCTGTGAATGCAAGATTGATGTAAACATGCACTTGTATCAACTAGGATGTTTCAATATATTTCATTGAACATTCTTAATTTAGCCTGATAATCTAATTCCAACTTGCAAGTGTAAATCACAGATTCACTACATTACAGTTTAGGTCAGATGAGTGTTACTTGACCATTAACCAGTGGAAGTTGCTAATATGGTTTCGAGACTTGTATTACATAGGGGAAGAGAGTCACAGCTGAATACGTTTGGCTAGATCCGAATATGCCTGAGCTGGGTACCTTTCTTAATTACTGAAGAGAATAAGACTTTAAGGAATATTTGTTGAACAAAAAGAATTCTTAGCTGTTTTAATTTTTTTGAAAATGTGATCAGTTAGTTTTTGAGGGCAGTCCCTGGACTTGAAACCAGGAGGAGCTTTAAAGCGAGATCTTTTCTTCTTCAAATTAGGTTTTTGGGAAGTGGGTGTGAAATGCTGCTTCTGTGCAGAAAACACTGAGATCTTTCTCATGCTGAATGTTAAAAGTACGATTTAAAGGTATAACTAAATAATTAACCTGTAACCGTTGCGCATGCAGAAAGATAATGTTACATTACTGCATTTTATTCAGCAAGTTGTGAACATTAAGCAAATTTTCCTGGTATATTTGATGCCATCAATCAGGCTTGGAGGAAATACAGGTTTTATTTTGAATCTTGGTGTAATCTCTTCACAATACTACCGTACACTTTTAGTATTTTCTAATTTACAGTTTTCAATATCCACAGTATTTTGCTTTAGTATTACAGTGCTGTTGTAGTTACCAAACAGAAGTACTTCCTTGAGGAAGGAAGGGAGAGTTGGCACAAGAGTAATTAAGCTATAACCACAGGCTTGGAACAGGACTGTCAAAATGCTGAGCTTTAGATGGCATATGGCTTGGATGTGGGGGAGGGGGGAAAAGCATTTTTTTTTCAGGAAAAACAACTTTGAGTACAGATTGAAAAGATTCAAGTGAGAAAAACGGTAAAATACAGTGAAAGGCTTTTCCACTGTTGCCACAATATGACGCCATTTTGAATAGTTCGAAGGATAGGAAAAAAAGGGAAGATATAGCTTAAGGAGAGTCCATCAGTCCTGAGCCAACATCATTGACAACACTTGCGTTTGGCAGATCCACAATGCCCTTGGGGAGAGAACTGATTTTATTTATATATTTTTAATATTATTTATTTGCTGTTTGGGTTTTTAAGCTTTGAGTTAGTAACCTGTGAAATTTTTATCTGAAGTTAATAATTAGCTTAAGTATTTCTAGCCATGGTGGTCTCTTTTTTTTAAAACAGTTTTGAGGCCTAGCTTTAGTGAATGGGATTTTGTGCACCACCAAAGGACTTTTTCTGTTTATCTTGATTGTTTTGTGAACCAGAAAAGTAAATAATGGGGTGTCAAGCTTTGTTAGAGCCTTCTGAAACTGGCTTTTTTGAACTTAAGGGAAATACCCATAGCCTAGAAAGGGAGTATTTTGGTCTCACTTGCCCTTGAGTTTTATGCAGTCATTTGGAGTCTTTGGTTAAAGGTGGCTGTGTTGAACTGTCCTTCTGAAAAGGAAAGGATGCATAGTGAAATAACCTTAGAGTGAAGTTTAGAACTCTTAAAAGTTTTAGTCCCAGACCAGAAATATTTGAGTAAAATCCTGAAGAAGTTATTTAAAACTAAGTACATTTATGCTTAGAAGTATACAAGTTTCAGGAGGAAGCTATCTGCAGTTCCACTCTAAAGACTGAAGTCACAAGAGGCTTAAACCTACGAAGGTGTTAAATGCAGAGCCTCTGGTGTAAATGTTGTTTGAGTGGTGTGTTTTGGGTACTTTATAAAAGCCATTTATTTTTTCAATTTATCCAGGAGTGTTTCAGGATTAATGGAATTATACTTTTACTGCGTGTCTGAAAATCTTTTAAATTGTTGAAGTAAACGGTTGATTTAATCTATTTTATCTTAATTGCTTCTTAATGAACTTGTTTTATTATTAAAGCAAAATCTGTGAAATTGTATGCGTATTTTACAGCAAGAGATCACCTGCTTAAAACCAAGACAAATCAAAATATCATCAATGAAGCCAGGTTTTAGCCTGGGATCTGACTTGTTTAGTCATAAATGTCTGCTGGGATCATAACACCACCAAGAGAAATATGACAAAAAAGCAGTTATCAGGGGTTTTGTGCAAAACAGACAGCAACTTATGGTATTGTTACATGTGTGGTAAAGTGCAGGATGTTTTCCTACTCCTCCACAAGTTGTATTACACTGATACCTCATTTGGAAACTCTGCATTGAAGATATACATTGAGATTATGACACTTGTCCACTATTCATGCCAGAAAGAGGGAGTGTTTGTCCATTCACGTGTTTGGTGGTGGCATTCTGTTTGAGGAAATGACGCAGGATGACATTTGAATCCAGATACTAGTGGGGTGGGAAGTGAGGAAAAGGGGAAACCCTATCCTTGTTCTCAGAGCAGCAGAAGTACTCTCTCTTTCTCCCAGCTCTCATTCTGAAAAGAAGATAAAAGCCAAGTCCATCTTTTCAAGTCATCTGTTGCAATGTAATGATTTATTAAGATTACACAATTATGAAAGAAAAGGTAACTCAAAGTTGAACATAAAAGTGGAGCTATTTGGTTCCAAAAGCGTATGTTCTTGTGCTGCCATTAAACTGGTAGAGAGGCATATGGGCTTTAACATAAAATGGCCCCCCAAGTCACTTTCTTATTCAACTTAAACATTTACAAGCTGCATGAATATACACTAATATCATCAGGATGGTCTACTGTATTATGTATCTCAGATGACAAGACAGGAGTTTTAAAAAGTTCACCTTGTGATGAGCATCATTGGTAACACAGTATTTAATGCCCATTCTTACCTAAGGGTATTAAGTGTTATACTCTTTGTTTACTTTATTGCAAATAAAAGTTATAGATGAGCTGCCAATTTGCTGTCACCCATTTCACAGTATTGTAGAATCAAAAATCTACTTCATTAGTAGGATTCTTTCATATTTTATTATGGTGTGAGTAGGTGACTCATTTAAGTGTGCAATTTCAATTCTTTTGCACAGCTGCACAAAGGCAATGGAGTAGCTGATTTGTGTGCTCTTAAGCTGCTGTATGGCCATTTGGCGCAGAAAACCAATTATTAATGTGGGATTGCAGTCACAAGCAAGCAGATGAGGCACAAGTCCCAGGTTCCACCCCCTGAACAACCTGAGTTAATCAGTAAGGTTTTACCACTACTCCTGCAGGTTGCATGGGCATTTTTCTTTTATGGTACTAGCCATATAGTAAGTATCATGACTGGACTTCTAACTTGAGTTGTCTCTCCAAAAGTAAACTAATAATCTAATTCCTTGAAGTACTCTGCATTTGCAGGATTTTGATGCGCCTGAAGAAACTAGGCCAGGCCTTCCTACAGTTTAATAGGTTGGGAGGTGGATGGTGGTGGTCTGCGAACTGCAAGTGGAGTAGTGAGATCCAATTGTTGAGATATTTGTAGCATCAGTAGCCATAGATGAGGTGCTGGAAAACTGGAGGTTGGGTAACATGGTGCCACTATTTAAGAAAGGTGGTAAGGAAAAGCCAGGGATCTATATACCAGTGAGTCTGACTTCATGGTGGGAAAATTGTTGGAGGGAATCCTGAGGGACAGGATTTACATGTATTTGGAAAGGTAAGGACTGATTAGGGATAGTCAACATGGCTTTATCTGTG